ATTATTTACATAAAATATGGTTTAGACAATTGATTGTATTAAGTTTTAATTATATATTTATTACTACTTTTTTTGATAATAAATGGTATATAATAATTCTACGATATTTAGGTGCAAAAGTTGGTGACAACAACGAAATTTTTCATTTTAGTCGTATTTTAATGTTTCCATCAAATTTGTTAACTATTGAATCGAATTTTAAAAGTTTATTTGATGTGGCATTCGATGGTATAGTTGATCGAAATGATGGAAAATATATGTTGGATCAAATTTATATTGGCAATGATTGTACAATGGGTAATAGTTGTACAATTGAAATTAGGTCAAATATACCATCAAATACAATTGTTGGAACAATGACAAGATTTGATTCAAAAACAATAATAACAACAGAAAATAAATATGAGCGTGTTATCCTCGGCATACCAGCCCGACAAATGCCATTTGAATTTAAGCCAGCACTATTAGATACAACAACAGCAGTCAATAATCAACAAGAAACAAAACTAATTGAGAACAAACTAATATTACCAAAATATATTAGGCACTGCTCACAAATGATGTCATCCAATTATCGTACTTTACGATAGATGTTACAAAAGATAACTCACACTAGCCTCCACAAATAGGCGCAATTTTGTGGTCAAAGAAAGCTTTGTTCGAGTACGGCAGAGTCCATGCTACGAGTCAATAATCTAAGCAGGTGACAAACTTACATTTCCATTCCTTTTAAGGTTATCCAGCATTAATGATAGATGTCGTGCAAGTTCGAGCAAAGCTCACGATACTCAAACAAAAGACTCTCTTGATTATGAACTTGTACATATTTCAAACAGAAGAAAGGCGTAGCAATTCTCGTTTTCAAAGGCTTGCTCGTTACGCCACTTACAAACCAGAATTTTTAAATACATATACAATTTAGAAATATCCTGGTCGTTTCATTGGACAAGCAATAGTATTCATACCGCAAAAACAATGTCAGCGGAGAAATTCCAAGAAGTAAAAATTTTCCTCACCTTCCACCTCATGAAACATCAATATTCTTGCTAAGGACATAGAATCAAATGAGCGGGGAGTGTGCTCGGTTTTTAGGGACTTTTTATTCTAAAACTTGCTATCTAGCTCACCGATTTTTATATGGTTTGTTCATCAGTCTAGATCTTTTTATGACAAAAAGGAATGAAAACGTATTTGACTGGACTCGAGAATATTCAGTATTTCTGGTTAGAAGCAGGTATGGTAGGGACTTTTTCCAACAACTTTCTTTGGATACTGTGGCCCAACTTTCCTCTTGCTTTACGGACGAGTGAGAGGCCAAATTCTGAATTATCCAATAACTGTCTTCTAAAGTATTTAGATCTCTAGCCGTTTTTTCGCAATAATCGAAAAACTCAGTATATTTTGTTGTATTGTTTTTGTTTATTTATAAGCATTAAATTTCATCGCACTGTCGCAGTACAACCGCCTTTTTACAACGTCTATTTCGATCGAGAGAGAGAATAATATCGTTTTGAACCCCGCCCCTCCCCACGTTATTTGTAGATGGCTCTTCAAGATTTTCTTTTAAGTATTTTCTTTCAAGTAATCACTAAATTTATTGTTAGCTTATCAATTTTATGCTCATATTTCACCTTGAGAATAATTATTCTTGTTAACTATTCAAATTTGAATTGTACTTATCTCATTCATTTACCGTTATTATTCTTATTAATTCTATTTTATTTTTCATTATCATATATTTTTGTCTATCGGTTTGTATATCGAAACGCATGGTTACCGGATATATATAACAACCTTCCATTTTATTCAATTGTCGAATTTAATCTGATATTTGATTACGGTTATTCAGTAACCGAATTTCTAATAGGGACACAATTTCTTGTTTTTCTTTTTCGTGGTCTTGGAACTACAATCAACGGTAATGATATCCTTTTAATGGATTTTGGTTATATCTGTGATCCGCAGCTAGTTACAATTGACAATCATGTTAGAACTAGCTCAAAAGCAATTATACAGGTAAAAGCTATTCACATACAAGAACATATTTGTGATACAAATGAACAACTTTAGATGAAATAGTTTTTAGCAGTTCACAAAACTGCGGGTCACACCGGGATATCATATACTTTACAATGAATTATAGTCATTT